CCAAAATCCCCATTTTCCATCCCAAAAATCCCCAGTTTCCATCCACAAAAATCCCCATTTTTCATCCCCAAAATCCCCATTTTCCATCCCAAAAATCCCCAGTTTCCATCCCAAAAATCCCCATTTTCCATCCCCAAAATCCCCAGTTTCCATCCCCAAAATCCCCAGTTTCCATCCCCAAAATCCCCATTTTCTATCCCTTTTCCCTCCTGAATTTTTCCATATTTTCCCCTGACTTATTCCATATTTTCCTTTGATTTATTCCATATTTTCCCTGATTTATTCCATATTTTTCCCCAGTATCCGAAAGAACAACAAAGCAAATCCTGGGATTTTGGGGATGATTTTTCTCGATTTTCTGGGATTTTGTGACCGATTTTTCCTAATTTTCGGGGATTTTTGTGACCGATTTTTCCTGATTTTTGGAGATTTTTGTGACTGATTTTTCCCGATTTTTGGGGATTTTTGTGACCGATTTTTCCTAATTTTCGGGGATTTTTGTGACCGATTTTTCCCGATTTTTGGGGATTTTTGTGACTGATTTTTCCCAATTTTCTGGGATTTTCGCGACCGATTTTTCCCGATTTTCTGGATTTTTGTGACCAATTTTTCCCAATTGTCTGGGATTTTTGTGACCAATTTTTCCCTATTTTTGGGCATTTTCGCGACTGATTTTTCCCAATTTTCTGGGATTTTTGTGACCGATTTTTCCCGATTTTCTGGGATTTTTGTGACCGATTTTCCCCGATTTTCGGGGATTTTGTGACCGATTTTTCCCTATTTTTGGGGATTTTTGTGACCGATTTTCTGGGATTTTCGGAGATTTTGTGACCAATTTTTCCCTATTTTTGGGCATTTTTGTGACCGATTTTTCCCTATTTTTGGGGATTTTCGTGACCGATTTTCCCCGATTTTCTGGGATTTTCGCGACCGATTTTTCCCTATTTTTGGGGATTTTCGTGACCGATTTTCCCCAATTTTCAGGGATTTTCGCGACCGATTTTTCCCTATTTTTGGGGATTTTCGTGACCGATTTTCCCCGATTTTCCGGGATTTTATGACCAATTTTTCCCTATTTTCGGGGATTTTCACAACCGATTTTTCCCAATTTTCCGGGATTTTCATGACCGATTTTCCCCAATTTTCGGGGATTTTTGTCACCGATTTTTCCCGATTTCTCCCCTGCGGGATTCAATGCAAATCCCGGGATTTGGGGCTGATTTTTCCCGTTTTCCCAGGAGCTGAAGGAGAAGATGCGCGAGCTGCTGCCGCTGCTGCCGGTGCTGGAGCAGTACAAGGCGGACTCGCGGCTCATCGTGCACCTCAAGGACGAGGTCCGGAATCTTTCGGGAATTCTCTTGGAAATCCAGGAGGAGATGGGCGCCTACGACTACGAGGAGCTGCAGCGGCGCGTGCTGCTGCTGGAGGCGCGCCTGCACGCCTGCCTGCAGAAACTGGGTACGGAAATCCCCAAAAATCCACCATTTGGGGTCAAAAAACCAAAAAAAAAACCCGTGGAAATCGGCCCAGAAATCATCCAAAACCCCACCAAAAAACCCACCCAAAAATCCTCCAAAATGCACCCAAAAACCCACCCAAAAACCCACCCAAAAATCCTCCAAAATGCACCCAAAAANCCAAAAACCCACCCAAAAACCCACCCAAAAATCCTCCAAAATGCACCCAAAAAATCCCCCAAAACCCCACCAAAAACCCACCCAAAAACCCACCCAAAAATCCTTCAAAATGCACCCAAAAATGCCCCAAAACCCCTCCCAAAACCCACCCAAAACCCACCCAAAAACCCCCCAAAATGCACCCAAAAACCCACCCAAAAACCCACCCAAAAACCCACCCAAAAATTTCCCAAAAACCCACCCAAAAACCCCCCAAAACCCACCCAAAAATTTCCCAAAAAACCCACCCAAAAACCTCCCTAATTCCCATTTTCCTCTCAGTTTTCCAAATCAGATTTCCCTTTCATTCCCATTTCCCCCCAATTTTCCAAATCCCTAATTTCCCCATTTTCCCCAATTTTCCAAATCTGATTTCCCCCTAATTCTCATTTTCCCAATTTTCCAAATCTGATTTCCCCCTAATTCCCATTTTCCCCAATTTCCAATTCCGATTCCCTTTATTCCCATTTCCCCAATTTCCAATTCCAATTCCCTTTACCCCATTCCCCAATTTCCAATTCCCTTTACCCCATTCCCCAATTTCCAATTCCCATTTCCCTTTACCCCATTCCCCAATTTCCAATTCCCATTTCCCCAATTTCCAATCCCCATTTCCCCAATTTCCAATTCCCTTTACCCCATTCCCCAATTTCCAATTCCCATTTCCCCAATTTCCAATCCCCATTTCCCCAATTTCCAATTCCCATTCCCTTTACCCCATTCCCCAATTTCCAATTCCCATTTCCCCA